TGGGCAACTTCTTAGGATTCCTAGTTCATCAAAGAGCTGTAGAAGTGGACAAGAACAAATCGCGGGCAATAATGGAGTCGCCTTCACCCACCAACAAGGTGCAACTCCAAAGGCTGCTAGGCAAAATTAATTTCTTGAGAAGATTCATTGCCAATTTAGTGGGCAAGATCCAGCCACTGACTCCTTTGCTAAGACTGAAGGATAAGGAGAGTTTCGAGTGGGGACCACCACACCAAAAGGCTTTCAACAGTATCAAAGCTTATTTGACTTCTCCACTAGTGTTGGTACCATCTCAAAGGGGAAAACCCTTAAAGCTATATATCTCTGCTTCAGATAAATCAATCGGGAGTTTGCTAGCTCAAAATAATGAAGGCGGGAAAGAACAGGCAGTGTACTACCTCAATAGAATTCTGACCAAGGTAGAAACAAGATATTCCCCAGTAGAGAGATTGTGTTTAGCTCTGTATTTTACTGCCAATAAGCTGAGGCATTACATGTTACCGTGCACATCATCGCCAAGATAGATGTGATAAAGTACATGTTATCAAAGCCAATGCTAACAGGAAGGATTGGGAAGTGGATTCTAGCATTATCAGAATTCAGCTTTCAGTATGTACCCCAAAGGGCAATCAAAGGCCAAGCAATTGCTGACTTCTTGGCAGAGCATCAAAAGTCTCAAGATGAGATAATCAATATCCTAGGAACCCTGGAAGTTACTAGTGTTTGGATCCCACCAAGTAAAGGTATCTCGGGCAAAGAGGAGTGGGTCCAGCAAGAGATAAGAAGAGTGGCTGGTCTATGGATTACTCATTGGAAGCTATATTTTGATGGTTCCTACACTCAGAAGGTTTCAGGAGCTGGGATTGTAATTATCAACCCTCAAGGGGTTTATCATTATTACTCATTTCTCTTATATTACCAAGGGAATACCAATAATCGGGCAGAGTATGAGGCCTTAATAATTGGTTTGGAAATCTTGATGGATTTGAGGGCAATGGAGGTAGAGGTATTTGGCGATTCAGAGTTAGTAATAAACCAGCTAAATGGGGAGTTCAAGTGCAGACATATCACCATGGCCGGATATTACTTGGCGGCCACGCAGTTGCTGAGTTATTGGGATTCTGAGATATCGGTTAGTCATGTTCCCAGAGGATCCAACCTAACGGCCAACAAGATGGCGCAATTAGCCTCAGGCATGCCAATACAAGAAAGAAAATATGGGTTGGATGTTGAGATTCAAAGAAGAAACCTTCCTTCTATCCTGGAAAGAGGATTTAGTCTGGATATAATGGTTCTAGAAACTAAGATAAACAATTGGAGGTCGCCCATCATCCATCGTTTAAAAGATCTCTCTTCACCCACAAGCAAGAAGAATAGACATCAAGCAACTAAGTATGTCTTGTGGGCGAAAGACCTGCTAAGGAAAACTCCCGACGGGTTACTATTGAAATGCTTAGGCCAAGAGGAATCTATGAGAGTAATGGCCGAAGTACATGAAGGAGTATGCGGAGCACATCAGGCTGGAACGAAGATGAGATGGTTGTTTAGAAGGTATGGTTATTTATGGCCCGACATGGAAAAAGATTGCAAGTCCTATGCCCGAGGATATGAAGAATGTCAGAGGCACGATCCTCTCCAAAATATACCCTCAATACCTTTAAATCCAGTGGTTAAGCCTTGACCCTTCAGAAGATGGGCAATGGACTTCTTCGGGCAGATCTATCCGGCTTCTAGTAAAGGGCACACTTTCATAATTGTAGCAACGGATTATTTCACCAAATGGGTAGAAGCCTCGGCCGTAAAATCCATAACCTCAGCTACAGTCAAAAATTTTATTGAGACCAAGATTCTGTACAGATTTGGAGTGCCTAAAACCATAGTAACGGATAGTGGACCATCTTTTATTTCAAAAGAAGTTGAAGAGTTTGCAAACAAATACAAGATAAAGATGATCCAGTCCAGTCCCTACTACCCGCAGTCAAATGGCCAGGCAGAGTCCAGCAACAAGATTTTGGTAAACATTATCAAAAGAATGGTGATAGATAGTCTGGAAAAGTGGCATGAAAAGCTGGGGAATACTTTGTGGGCATACAGAACTTCCAAGATGCTTTAACTTTCGGGCAAGATGCAGTGCTTCCTATGGAGATCAATGTAAGTTCTGTCAAAATTCAAAATCAGTTTGGGTTGCACAGCCGAATCCCAGCCGAAACCCAGCCGAATCCCAAAAGGAGGAGATAAGCCTGAACCCCAACCGAATCCCAGGAGGCAGAAGAGGCCCTTTTCTGACTAGGTACATGCCATATGAACCACTTGCTCACCTACCCCAAAGACCAAGTGGTACAGACCAGCCATCTCATCAGCCCAAAAGCACTTTACAGTGGTAGTACAAGTAAATAGCTGATGAGTCACTACCCTTCAAGATGCATTCGGGCAAGATTACTGCTACAGGAGGCCAAGCCAAAGTGTCTATAAAAGAAGAAAGAGAAATCAGAGATAAGGACACTCAATCAAACAAACAAATACAAGCACAAACTCTGCTCAAAACCAGATTTGCCTTCAAACGAAGCTGTAGTTAGCTCAAGCCTTCATCCCTTTCGGGATAAACCCTCACCAAAAGCCTTTGTAATAGCTCTGTTACCTTGTCCTAAGCTTGCTGTGATATCGATTTCTTTCTGTAAACTCATCTCCCTACCCCCCCATTTTCTAAAGCTCTCAAACCCCTTGATAAACCACAAAGATAGGAAGTTGCAAGACGATCAGCCTTACCCGACAAGGTTAAACCTTGCCCGACCCTTTTTGTTTTTGTCTTTTCATTCATTAATCTAGCAGTATGTTGTATACTTCCAGTTGTATTCAAATTATTTCTAGTAAAATGATGATTAAAAGACTCTCTCAATTCTTGAATCCGATTTGAATATGTTTTCACAGTTCAAACCAGATCTAAGTTCTAAGCTTTCGGGCATGTAAGATTGATCATTTAAAAGTCCTTGGCCTCAAGGCATAAAAAAGAACCTTATGTGGACTTAACCCATCCACGACAAGCTTTGATAACAAGAAGTCCGAAGTTACTTGGGGTGCAAGTAATCGATCTATCTCTTAGTTTTATTTCTATTATATTATGATTATAGTAGAACGTTCGAGTATAGAAGGAATTCTGATGGGAAGTCTCAAGGCCTATACCTAAGGCCCTACAAAGGCACCTATTTGAGTTCATTCTGCTCTGTGGGCTTGGATAATCAGAAGTATAATGGTTATAACACTTATGCAAACAATAAAACAGACATCGTATATTCGAGTACTGGGTTAGTTCTTGATCGGAAGCCTCAAGGCCTACACCTAAGGCCCCACAAAAGCACCTGTCATAACTAACACGGCCTCTCGGGTATATGTACAACTAAAACTCAATATCCATTTTACATCTGCCATGCTAAAGATGGCAGTGGCACGCCTGAGCACTTAAAAGTTAACCTTGATTACGAGCCTCAAGGTCTATACCTAAGGCCCCACAAAGGCACCTTTCAAAGTTAACCCTGTCCTTCTCTTTCAGCCTTGCTCGACAAGCTTTGCCCGACAAGCCCGCCAGTGAAGCAGAAACCCGACAGAAAGCATCAACCGGCGCCAACCTCTTGGGGAGCTGTGTGCTCGTCGGCTAGGAGACATCCCCGACGGAAATTCTAGCCACGAACAATACGTGCATACAAAATTCACAGAATTGACCTCGATCACTACTTTTCTTAATTAACATGGCCACTTGACAAGCAGGTTCTTAAAAGACTCATTTATTGAGGTGCCATATTAATCCCTCAATTTCCTAAATCACGTAGGATGAGAAGATTATGATGGTTGATTTTCTAAATTTTAAATAGAGAATTTATTGTTTCTACTTAGCTAGAGCTAGAGCTTTAGAGAATTACAAATTAGTTAGGATAATACTTGTATTTCTTTCTTGGAGAAAATGTGGGAATTCCTCCTTACAAATAACGTGTCTTGATCATAAGATTTCATAATCAGAACTGCACAATCTCTTAATCTTTATTTGAAGATCCTTACAAAAAACCATTCGAATCGGAGCCTGTTTAATCATCCAAATTTATCACAATAAATCAATGGTTTAGGTACCAAATAGCATATTCATAATGAACTGTTGATTTGTTTGATACATTTGAATGACTAAACGATATCGAATTTGAATAATTTTTTTATAGATGATCTTCAAATGAATATTAAGAATTTATTCTGATTATAAAGTTTTATCTGTGAAGATACATTATTTATAAGTGGGGAATAACCGATCATTCCCCCACACGGAAATGCAAGCATTATCCAATTCGTTATTGCAACTTGAGTAGAGACCAAATCTAGGGTTGTTATAATTTATATAATATTTCAATTTGACTACGACGAGGAATGATTCTAATTGAGGATATTCATGATAAATCCATGAAAATGTAGCTTAATTACCTTTAAGCACGGCATCATAGACTTGAGGAAGCTCCGCCAGATACATCATAATGGTAGTCAACGCACTGCTTAGACTGTCATGGCCGGCAACTATAACACCGTACAACTTGTCGGCAATCTCTGATTCGGTTATCTGTTTCCCGTCACTATATGTCTCCTCCATCAATAAGCTCGACAACATATCTCCGTGATCACCATCTTCGTCGACCATACTATTGGCACTAGCAGTGGAAAGCTTTATCCTCCTCTCAACCACAATCTTCTCAATTTCTTCCCTGAGTTGCCTCGATCCTCGAATGGCTCGGTTAAATGTTGTGCCCGGAAGATCGATTGGCAATGCCGTGAATCCAGAAGACAAATCCTTCAATAGCCTTTGTAGTTTTCCCAATAGTTGTGGATCCTCTGTATCTAACATGAGTTTACATGCCAACGTAAACGCATATTTCTTTGCATGTTGGTGAACCTTCACTTGATCTTTATGGTCACAATAGGTAACCAAATATTTTTTGGTGACCGAATCCATGGTTCCTATACTTTTGGAGGCCGGCAGGCTTCAGATACGGAGCGAGAATCATGCGAAATCGATTGGACTCCTCAGTAATATTGAGTGTTTTTTCTGAGTTACCAACGATAAGCTTATCCAAGTAAGCCGGCCACCACGACTTGACCAGTTTTTCCTCGTTCGAAAAGAGGAACTTGTTTCCTCCCGCAGTGCACAGCACTGCCATGTCTTGAAGCAACAGCGATGTCTTGAAAACCTTGCAAGAATTGCCGGCGGATGACAAGTACTTGTTTATCCTGTCTAACACGAAATTTTCCGGGACACCCTTTTTAGCCGTGCTTAGGTACTCTAGGGTTTCACCGATGATTGGCCATCCTGTGCTTCCAGGTGGGAGCGGATGACGATCAAGTTTTACATTTTTCATGCCGCCGGCGACATGGATATTGTTAAAAACGTAGTAGAGAGAAACACAGGTAAGCACAGAACTAATTAAGATCATGTACAAAAGCTCCATTACGCTCGATCTACTTATAATTCAAGTATTGAACCCTTAATCCTTGAAGCAAGCCATAAATCGATCCTATATATATATATATATATATTAAGAATGGAAGGATCAATGAATTAAAAGAAAATAGCTGAGTTAGCTCGAAACAACAAAGCAAGCCTTCTCACGAATCACATAATTTTGTACACCAAATTCTAGTCTCCACACCAACCTCTATAATATTATTTTAACTTTTTGACTTTAGATTAATTTTTATATGCCCAGCCGTCTTTGTTTACCGTTTCCTTCTTCCAGATGAGCTAAAAAAATACATAAGTCATTATTTAAGTATTTGGACCTGATTTTACGCCATTGACCCAAGCAAACGAGGTCGTTGAATGAGCATATTTTTAGACCATTGGATGACAAAGTTATTAAAATAATTTTTATTATTGAAGGATAATATTATGATTTTAGTTATAATAATGATCTCTTAATAATATATTCAGTTATTTTGACTTAATATTATCTAGATCCTAGCTAGTTTGAATGGTGGTGGAATAATGTGGATGTACATTCAAGCACGGTTGTGTTTATTATAGATATGATTTTCAAAGCAAGAAAGATGGGATGATTATCACATGAAGGCAAATGGTATATTCTTTTTATTATTCATTTGTGATGTTGCTTTGGCCACCTTGGAGATTTTGACTCCAGATGCAATGGTCTGGTGATGAGAAGTGAGAACTGATTGAATGGAGATAAAGTCTGACATATGGTATTTTAAAAGGGGAGATGGTATTTAAAAGGAGATGGCATTTCGAAGCTACATGTGGTCTTCTATTTGGATAAATATGAGAAGGATTATTGTCATTCAAAAATGGGTGGAAGGGATTGTCATGATATATCTTTATATACTAAAACCCAATCAGGTGGTACTGTGGATGACCAGTGTGCTGATCATTTTGCCCCTCAGTTTCTCCCCGCTCTACCCCTTCCTGGCCTGATTCACACAGTGAAAAGACGATTTTGCCCGTTCCTTCCACGCGTCAACCATCGTTGAGCTCTCCACTTCGAGAGTCTTCTTTTAGGTTTAGCCTTTTCTTTTCTGCTGATTCTCTGATCTCTGTATTACTCTCTTCGTTTTTCTCAAATCCTCCGTTCCTCTCAAATATTCTGTTCTTTATTTCACAAAATATTCAGGAGAAAGTTCCTGATTCTTTGCGTCTCTGCTTTTGAGGGGAGTTGTGCATCCCTGCAAACCTAGTATATCCTAGAGTTCAATTGGATGAAAAGATTAAAGATGCATGCGCACGTGGCCTTCATTAGCATAGTGGCTGATTGAGTCAGAGTGTGGTAGTGTCGCTGCACTATTAGCAGGTGGTGGTTGGTTTTTATTTTTTTATTTTTTTTATTTTTTTTACGACGGTGGTGGTTGTGTTAAGAGTTATAAATGGATTCTACATGAGTGCTAGGCCGCGTGGAGCAAGAGTTGTTAGCCTTATAAGGTTATACAATTAAAATACAAACGAAAGAGTGATTGATCTGATTCCAACGGCGGTCATGGAAATTGAACACGAAAGGAAGTAGGCACGGCAAAACCAAGATCTTCTATAAGTTCCTAGCCGAATACAACTACTCTATGGGAAGCATTATGTTGTGTGTTCTAGGGCTTATAGGGACCAAGGTTTATATATAGGCTAAAAGCTAGGGTTTCCATCCATAAAGGAAACCTAAACTTACTTTCTTAGCCTCTAAGTTAAGTATCATAATTATAGTCAATTAAGGATTCCATCAATCCTATTTCCAATATAAGACACATGATATAGGATTAATATCTTTAAGAGATCGAATCACAATCAACATTATTTCTCCAATATTACATTCCTATTACATGTAGTAGACTACTTAAAGGCTGATTTATATTGGATAAATCCAACAAGAGTATCACTATAAATACGAGGTGATTCGCAGATCTTCAATTCAACATACAGACGTTAAACGCAAACTCTCGCTTGGATAAACAGTATTATGAAGGCAATCGACGATATATATGGAATGTTGAGGACCGACGGTGGTGGCATTACGAACGGAGCAATAAATTTTCAGTACGTAGTGCTTATTACGTCGCTCAGGGACTGAATTTAACAAATGGAGAGGGTGCCACGGGTTCATCTTCCTCATCTAGTGGTGTGGTGGGGAAGTTAGGGAAAACGTTGTGGAATGCCTATGTCCTGGGGAAAGTGAAGATTTGTGCCTGGCGTGCATGTTTGGACTCCTTGCCAAATCGGTTGAATCTTAGTGAGCGGCGTGTGACGAGTGGTGAGTTGTGTGTGGTTTGTTTGGGGGGGGGGAGGAGGGGAGAAAGAGAGTCAACAGAACATGTGTTTCAAGAATGTAGCTTGGCAAGGGCGGTGTGGTTTCGTAGTTTGGGCATAAGAGTAGATACGGGGAATCATATGTCTTTATTACATTGGTTGGAGAATATTTATGTGCAATTCCCTTCAAATGGCTTCGAGCTATGGTTGATGATGATCTAGTCTCTTTGGCAGCATATGAATGATATGTTCTGGAGTGGTTCTTTGTTACCTTCACACGAGATTGTGATTAGAACAGAAGGATGGAGCATGAGTTTCACAGGTGGCATAAGATTGCGGGGCATACGGTTATTCGCGAGGTTCAAAAGTGGCGCAAACCAAAGGAAGGCTGGCTCAAATGCAACTTTGATGGGGCTTAGAGCCAACATGGTCCTCGGGGGGGGGGGGGGGGGGGAGGGGATATGGGTTTGTGATAAGAAATTAGCTAGGTGAGTTCATAGCAGCGGCTGCAGGTCCCATTGTGAGACCAGTCTTTGCAATTCACACGGAATTCTGGGCTGCCCGTCAGGCGGTGATGATGGTGCACCAGTGGTGGTCGGAGGACTACCATAGTATTTTTGAAGGCGATGCTAGTTTGGTGTTGGCTGCTTTGAAGAGACAAAGGGATGCCTCTTCTCTATTAGGGCCTATAGTCAACGATATGCAATTTCTCCTTGCAGGACTGCTTAATTCGAGGGGCAATCATGTTCAGCGTGAAGGAAACGAGGCAGCGCATCGACTTGCTCCGATAGGTCTTACTAGTTCTCAGGAAGTGGTGTGGTTTGAGGAGCCGCCAGATTTGATTCAGGACATTTTAGTAGAGGATGGTTTATAATTTGTTTATTTATTGTCAAGTGAGGATAGGTTTCAGTTTGTGCAAGACGCTCTTTTCCTTAGACCAGGTTGAAAGCCCCGACAAGGTTTTTATCGAGGCCCATTGAGCATATTATCCTCAGTATGTACGTATTATATGTTGCTTAATGAATATTGTACTTTCTTCGGAAAAAAAAAAGGCAATCAACAGTAGAGTCAGGCAATCAAGGCTTGAGTTTGGATAAATAGCACTGCTTCGGGTTTGGTTGGTTACTTGTCCAAGTCTCTATCAACAGGGAATTTATGAGTCCTTGTTGGAAGAGGTCATCCCATTAGTCTATTGGAAGGTGAGGTGTTATACGTTGTTCAACACATTGAAAGATGAACCCATTTTATAATTGGACATTCACAAGTGCATTTTAAAGTTTGTCATTCCGACGGCCGAACCACATTTACAATCAATACACTTATTTCTTTTGAGTATTTGTGTCCATACAACTGATACTAATTCGGCAAACTTTGATTTTCACGAATATAATTAAACCAGCCGATAAGATTTAACATAGGTTTAAATATTTTATTTCTTATTTTTATGTCTATTTTGCCCTTAGGCTAATAAGAACAAAATAAACTCTTTAATTTCATGCATCCTTTTATTCTTAAATTTGAATTTTTGAATTTTATATATTTGATTGTACACATTAAATTAAAGAACTGAAAGCTTCACCAAGGTCCAGGCAATTAATTTAATTGTGCTTTATGATTGCTTTGCGAGACTGTTTTGGAGTGAACATAAGGAATTCGATGTTCGATTTCAAACCCAAAAGACATGCTATACTTGTAAAAAAAATTCTTCGATATAAACTCTTCGACATTATCCAGTCTTTTAGACTTTATGGGATAATCCAATTGGTGTGCCCTTAAAGTAAAATTGACCCAGAGGTTAGTAGCAATGTGTGTGGACCAATATATGACTAGTGTGCCGATACATCAACCAAAACCATAACTATTTACATGGTCCACATTTTGATTAAATTAGTTCACAATTATTCCCTTGAATCCACTATGAAAAGAGGATCATGTAGTATATTTGCTAGGGATGATATAGAAATCCAATTTCCTTAACAAGCAGACTTGGCAAAGTGTGCTTGTAGGTGCTTACTAAACCCAAGTGCAAGTGTCGCGTAGCAATATAAACTCGAAGTCCGAGAGTCGTATTCCTTAGAGTGTGTTGAAAAAGAACGCATAATTATCGAGACTGGAACAAAGAACAATATCGAATGAGATGTAACTTATAGAAGAAAAGTTCAATAATTAAAAACACAAAGCATTAGGGTTCCCCCCGCAACAACTATGCAATTTCACTATTTCGAATCCTTTTTATAACTCAACTAAGATACCAACAACAAGTGCTCTCAACCGGAAAATATAGCAGTTAAATTTTCCACATACAAAACTACTTGAAAAGTGATTTTCATTGTAGATATTCAAAACAAAATGCCCATTCAATTTCTTATAGAAATAATCCCAAATATAATTTGTACCTACGACACAAAATATTAAGAAATTACTCTATTGAAATCATACCAATCTACTAATTTATTAATCCACCAAAAGCATGAATGTGAAACAAAACTATAGGAAAAACATGATTAAACCTATGAATTATAACCAACATTCATCAATCTGAAAATAGAATAAATCAGAAATTCCATTGAACTTCCACAATATAAAATTGACATTGAAACTCCGAAATAGAATCGAAATAATAAAACTACATAATCGTAATATAGGTTTCCCCCTAACCTTAGCTAGGGAGATTAGTTCTCCATAAACTATAATAGAATCAGAAAATGTCTAAAATTATGAAAGGGCAA